GGGGGGGGGGGGGGGGGGGGGGGGGGGGGGGGGGGGGGGGGGGGGGGTAGGTGAGCCAGCACTTTAGGTAGGCGCTCCAAGACGTCGCATCCGTGCTGGTGTCGCCCAATTGTTTCCGGTTTCCTTTTTCATGAAACTTATACAACTGCTGTGGGTGTTGCTGTGGACGCCCAATCCCCCGAATATGTCCTACGTCCATTTTACAAAATGTGCTGTTGAACCCCGACTGCCGACTGCTCATTACCCCCTGGAACTTTGCATGTGCTTCGCCGCTGGTTTTCCAGGGTGTGCTGCCGGATGTCAATACGTACAACGCGGCCCTCAGCGTTGTCGCCCGCAGCGGCCGGGAGGATGTGGCTCTGGCGCTGCTTAACCGAATGAGGATCGATGGTGAGGCTTGGACCCAACTTCAGTGGTTGCGAATAGCGCAAATCCGTGAGGATAGATCGCCGTATTCCTTGACGGAATAGGTGAGAGTTAAAGGCAACCCGATTTTGCTCTTCTAGAGTGGTAGACCGGCGCGTGGGAACAATGCGCCACCGTTTTTTGTCTGTCCCCTCACCACGCACAAACGCCGCCGAAGTCCTACCGTAGGTGGACACTTCAATAACGCATCTCCTGGGTTGATTTTCAAACTCGGCTAGTCCACCGGGGAATGAGTGGAGTTGCGGAAAATGGCGGCGTTGGAACGGTTTCGTCGAGAGCTTTCCGAAAACTTATCGCTTTGTTCAACATCCTCTTGGTCGTGGAATAATCGAGCTTTGACAGTCGGGTCCATGGGGTATGTAATCTTACGTCACCTGCAGCATCCACGTTTTGCCGTTGGCCCTGCCTGGGAGTGGGATTCGGGCCTCATGTGGCCATAGCACCACATCACCGTTGCCTCCCCGCACCGAAACGAAGGGTATTCAGATTGCGATAAAAGTACGCGTGTAGCGAATGCAGCGACAGGACCAGGCCGAGTTCTTGAATCGTTCCGCTTATTGTATGCCCCCCGAGCAACATGTCATGCCGGTCCCGACAACTCTGCCACCCCCCTCCGCTCCCTCCCCCCTCGCCGACGCATGATTTTTGTGGACCCTCGCTCCGCTCCATTCCCCCAGGGTACTGCCCAGATATCGTGACCTTCAACACGGCCATCGATGCGTGTGCGTCCCGCGAAAAATGGCAGGAGGCGGTGGAGTTACTTGAGGTTGACATGCCTGCCGCCAAGGTGATGCTTTTGTTTGCGGGGCTCGGGACGGCGGCAAGCAAAGAAAATGGGGGTGTAGTGTAGTAGCAACGGTTGCACTATGTTGAACATTATGGAAGTGGTGTTTGTGTCGCCGTGAGAAGGGCGTGCAAGATACGGCTGATCGATCCGAAAGTCCCGTTGTTTTCGCTTATGCTTGTTGGTTCTGCAGCAGTCACGGCTGGTGGTTTTTCAACAGCTGATAACATCCGAGAAGTTGAAACGCTTCTGCTCCAAACGATTTTCGAGAAAAGCTCAACCGCATTAAGCAGGGAGACCTTTTTGCTTCCAGGAAATGACCCAGTTCATGACGCCGCTGGTTTTCGGGGGCGATGACGTTTGCCCGATGTGCTTGACGAAGACGCGATCAGAGCGCTATGCGCGAGACTCATTCATATCGTCGACCGGTCTGTCGCTCTCTGTAGCTCCCTGTAGCCTCAATGGGTATTTGAATCTACAATCTCTCTCTCTCTCGCTCGCTCTCGCTCTCTCTCTCTCCCCATTTGCTTTGTTCCTTTAGGTGAAGCCCGACGTCATCTCCTTCACGTCGGCAATTCACGCGTGCGCTGGTCCGACAGGGAATTGGGAAAAGGCTTACCAGGTACGGTTTGAAGTGTACTCATGCAGTAGACCGGGTATAGTACTGTTTCTTGGCCCCTTATTCTCGTCCAAAGCGCTGGCGTGTCGCGATAGCGGGTGGTAGACCCCGCACTCTGTCAAACCAAACATTTCACCACTTTCGTGTGCCCGGCGGTGAGCAGCCAGTACTTGACTACCACGGCTATCCCAAGGTGACAGCGAGCGGGCGGACTCTACGCGGTACTATTATAGTCGAGCATTGCGAGCTTGGATCTAGGGTGTGATGGTCAATCTGGTTCGATCGCGTTCGAGCTGGTTTGTTCGGCTGTCTGTGCATGCTGCCGTGGATTGACCCATCCAGGAATTGGATCAAGCAGCACTATTGTAGGTGTACCTCCTCGGGCTTGCGTACCCTTTTCTTGCTAATACTGTGTGTGTTATTTTGATCTTCTGATGGCTCTAGCATTTTCGTGACCACGGACCGAGTCTTTGCTAGATTTTGGGATTAGCAACTGACACGAGTTTAATGTGAAGAAAACAACAACAACAACTATTTTGATTTTTTTTATTCATGGTACTCGAATTGATGCGAACTTTTTTCGACACCCGCGTTCTAAACCGAAGCGTGTGCTACGGTAAGCGGCGTCTGCCCACCTACCGTAGTCGATCCCTCCCGATACGAGTCAGACAGCCTTCTCCCACACGCTTCTGCTCAAGCGACAACAATCGCCGAATTTTCTCGTCCCGATCGGGCAGGACTGCTACGCTTAAATCCATTGGTTGGATCAATTGTCTACTGTCTAGTACAAGTTCAGCATCTCCCCCCATGCTTCCCAGCATCTCCCGCCATGCTTCCCCGCCCGCCGCCCCCATCCCACGGGCATGCTATTTTGCCGCAACTCGTTCCCGTCCAAAGCTGTTGGACGCCATGTGGCAGGACCCGGAAGGAGCGAAGCCCAGCAAGCACACGTACGACCTCGTCATACAGGCGTGCGGCCACGGCGGAGAGTGGGAGCTCGGGGTGACCCTGATAGACGACATGCGCGACCTGGGCATCAAGCCGGACGCGCAGACGTTCAACATGGCCGTCGCGGCCTGCGCGCGGTCGGGGGAAAGGCTCGCCGCGGAGACGCTCGTGGCAAACATGCGGAACGCCCGCGTAGTCCCCGACGAGTTCACATACGCCTCCCTGGTAGCAGCGTGAGTGTGCAATTGGTTCCAGTTTTCGGGTCGTGCTGTGTGGTTGGACGGGAGGGCGGCGTGGTGTACCCATGCTGGGCGACAACGTGTTCGGGGAAGAACAGAGCATCCGTGAACAGTACTCGGGCTGTTGTTGCGTTTCTCGATATTTTGACGTAGTATGAGGTTCAACGTCCAATCATTGTTCCACGTTTTTCCCGCAGGATGTCTACACTGGATGCCAGCCGTGTTCTTTCCCTTGATTATTTCCCCGGATTCATCCAGACATTTCACAGCGGGCACACAGACATGTCGGCTTCGTACCCCCTTCCCTCGTCGTTCCGAAACCTGGCTGCTGTAAGCTTGCAGCCTTTCCCTCTCCGGAGAACGCTGCCTTCGCTCTCCTTTACGCGCTTGTCCACCCCTCCCTCCCTCCCTCCCTCCCTCCCATTTTTTCGGAACAGCTGCGGCCGCGCGAAGGAGTGGAAGCGAGCGACCGAAATATTCGACGAGGCGCGGTACGTGCACCGCATCCGCCCCTCGCTGCAGATCTACGGCGCCCTCCTCGGCGCGCTCGCCGAAGGGGAGCGGTGGGCGGACGTCCTGGTGTACATGGACCGGATGGTGGCCGACGGCGTTGCTCGCGACGCGGCGGCGACGAACACCGCCGTTCTCGCCGCCGCCGAGCTCGGGGACGGTCGTCGGGCGCTCTCTCTACTGGAAGGAGGAGAAGGGTCGCAGCAGCGAGGAGGACGGCAACGGGAAATGGTGAGGGATGCGGGTGGCGAGGAAGGCGGCGGCAGCGATAACCGACTGCTTTGGGATGGCCTACAACGACGACGTCGACCGGCGGCAGTCGACGAGGGGGATGGTGGCCGCGGCGTAGTGCTTGGACAGGGGGAGCTTGAGGGGGAAACAGAGGCGTTGCTCGGGAGGAGGCAACGTGCAGCGACTGCAGCCGGAGAGAAGAGACATGGGGAAGAGTCAGAAGTACGAGCGCGGACGAGAATCAGGCCTTGTCCGGAAGCAGCGAGAGAACGTCAAGGGGTTCTTGGCGAACAAAATTGTGTTGACGAAGAGAGTGAAGATGGGACGAGAAGGACCGGGGGAGACAGCGACTCGGTGGACGATGGTGTAGGAGGTTGGGAAGGGGTAACGCCTGGCCTGCTGATCTCAGTGCTTCGTGCTCTGGACGAGCAGGACGAGGACTCCGCCGTCCTCGAAGCCGTGAAACGTGGACGAGAGAAAGGAGTCTTGCTCAACCCGAGCATTTACAGGTGGTGACTGAATCTCCAGACGCTATGGGGCAGCGTCGTATCGAACCCAGCATGCCACACTCCCGTAGTATGGATCAATAGTCTCTTTGGAATCCTTCTTGCTTTCTGTGACTGTGCGTACATGTTCCGCGAATCGATCGAAACAGCAACGAATTCGCTGAAGGGCTGACTTGTTACTTTCACTGCTACTTGGCACAGAGACGTCGCTCCCGCGTCCATTTTGTATTGTCCACGCCCGCAGCTTTACTGTTCGTGAATGAGATTGACACGTACCACAGACTTGGACGGGCGTGGTGTTTGCAAGAACGTTCACTACGTCCACTATCAATACGTGCATACACACTGTCCTTTCCACTCTTCCGGCTTACACCACCCACACTCCTGTACAGGTGCGCCCTGAAGGCGTGCGGGAATCTGGGAGACTACGACCAGGCGAACGATATTTTGGTGCGAATGGCGGAGGAAAGTCTGACGCCGGACATCGTACACTGGAATCACGCTCTCCGCGCCTCGGCTGCGTGCGCTCGGTGGCAAGAGACACGGTTACGCTTGAAGGAGATGGAGGTATGCGGAGGCAAAGAACAAGAATTTGTCGTACGTTTTCTAAGGTTCAAGAATGACTCTGAAGCCGTCGTCAGCGTTTCGTGTGAAGATGTTTCAAGGCCCTCGACTCTTCCCGGGCAGACTTGCATGCAACAGAAAAGAAACGGAGTATTAAATACCCGCGGTGATTCTAACGCTATACCTTGCGCACATCAGACTTATACGACTCACTGCTGCTCTAGTAAACTCTTCAGTTTATTTGTGCACGTGGTTGCTGGGTGCGAGTCGAAACAGCCACATGTGGTCGATGTTCAAGCTTTGGCGAGCAAGTTTCGCGAGACGCTGGAGCTATTCCGTGGGCTCTCGGACGTGTGAACCTTCGCTATACTCGTCGCACAGCGTTAAGGTACTTTGGCAATTGCTGGTGCTTGTTTATGATGGCTCGTAATATCTTCCGCGAAGCGTTTGAACGACGCCCCCACCAACTTCGACCACCTTTTGTTGCCACCTTCATTCCCCAAACACGAAGACCTCCGGGTCAACCCCGGACGAGTTCAGTTACAGCATGGCGCTCAAGGCATGCAGCGCTGGCCTGTGGTCCGGCGACTCTTGGTGCGATAGCCGTGGGTGGGGGGCGGAGGAAGATAAATCCTCTTGCCGACGTAAGAACGCTTTGAATGGCGAGGGCCAGCTGGATGGGAGCGGAGACAAGAAAGAACCCAAGGTGCCGCAAGCGTGCAGAGGAAAAAACGCCATCGAGGTGAGGATGTCTCGGCGGACGAGGGTGCGCGGGTACGTCCAACGACAAAAACGGTAGGTCCGTTCGTGCGTCGAGTATGGGGTTCAACGCCGTCAAGCCACAGCGGTCTGGAGATTGATGTGGGCTGGATGAGGGAAGCCCTGCAGACCACGTGGAGGTCGGCACCTGCCGTGTGCAGCTCTGGACACAGTGCGAACCTAGGCTCTTGCTTGCTACTATGGTGGACCTATCTTCAACTCTTGGTTCACCATCATACTTCCTCTAGCCGTATTTCGTTCACTTTTGCTGGTGTGTTCCCTGTCGTCTTGCATCACCCACCTGCTGCCTGCTACCGTCACCGCAGTTGCTGCAAGAAATGAAACAGAGAGGCGTTCGGCTGAGCGCGCATGCTTACACTCTTGCCATGGCGGCGTGTCTCGAGGGTCACCGCGATAGACACCCAGAACTCGAAGCCGGGCTTGACAAGGAAAAGGGTCCGCCCTCGGCGGATCTTCGGCTTGCAGAGGCTGCGCTCTTGCTTTTCGATCGGTTGGTGGCGGCGGGCGAAACGCCTACCGCAGATGCTTACGCCCATGCGTTGAAGGTATGACGGCAGGGGGGTTTGATTGGAATGGAATACCCGCACCAAACAACTTGGACCCGGACACACACAGGCTGGTTTCATCTGTTGAACACCTGCTTGAGTACATGAGAAGAGGCTCTCATTTGTCGTTTTGTCGCGTGCTTCGCTCCTTCCTTGCTGCTTGGTTGATGCCCCAACTCCCATTCGTAAATAAAGCCTTGGCAGAGCACAGGATGATTTTCAAGGTCTCAATCATTCTGCCCCCCCCCTATCCTCTCTCTTACCTCTTTCAAACTCTTCAAGGCCAAGTACGTCTGTGCCTCTCTCGCCGATGAATACAACCTAACCGCAGGCATGCGCACGCACGGCGAATCCTCAGCGGGCGAACGCCCTGTTCTGGTTCATGCTGGACGCCGCCTCTCCTCCTGCCGCCGTTCAAACCTCCTCCAACTTGTCCTCCCTGCGCAACGGCGCCTCTGGCAATTACGTTGCCGATGGCCAACGGCGACATTCGCGGCCGCCGTCCCCGCCCCAGCCCCGCCCGGAGGTGCGTCCGTGGCACCTGGCGAGCGCCATCGCGGCCTACGACGCGGCGGGGGACTGGACCGGCGCCAAGCAGCTGTGGGACGAGGCATTACGCCGGGGAGTGTCTCCGCGGAGCCCCGGATACGACGCTGCCGTCTCGGTCGCCTTGCGGGCGGGAGACACTGCCGCCGCGCGCCAGCTTGTTGAGGAGGCGCGAGGGCTGAGGCTCGAGCTCGCTCGGGGCTACGAGGGAGATTGACGGGTCTGCATTAAAGTTGGAGAAACGAGATACAGGGGCATGACAGGTTTTTCGGCGTCCCCTCCGGAAGGGTGCAGTGGTGGTGCTCAACACAGGAGCTTCTTGTAGTGAAAAAGGTGGAGCTGAGGCTCTAAACCACACACCAACCCGTTACGAAGTAGCGAGGGACGGCTTGTTGAACGTGTATGAAAGGGAGGCCTGAGGAGGACTCGGGAAGAACGATATTGACTCGTGTCGTGGTAAGCTGGTGTAGATACCAGTTGTAAGCGGCTTAAATGCCGCTCAGTGTGGACTCAGGGAAAGGCGGGAGCGCCTCGTTGAATAGGCAAACATCACCCCGCATATATTCAGTACCTCAACGTAATGAAAGCTTGGAGGCCGATTCCGCACAATCAGCCCAGAGAAACGAGAATGTTCGCAATCTGCATCCTCGAAACGCATTTTGCTGTAGTGCAGGAAAGGTTTCGAAGTCTTGGACAGGGCATGGCAGAGTATGAGGGTGCTCAACTTTTGTAAGGGTAGGCAGGGACGCTCCACGACACCATGCCGCAACTCTTGCCTTGCATGTCCATGCACGAACGTCGCAAACGAATGGGCAACGATTCAATCGGCGGCGTTTTGTCGAGTGATGATGATCGCGATATTAAAGGCAACAATGGAACGGCCTTGTTGTGCGATGCTACGAGCGGATGCGACAAGCGGACGTAGCGCGTCTTATTTGACATTAGAAATGTCCCGAACAGTTGTCGAAGGCTGCCAAATGATTTGTGGTTAAAGCGCTACCTGGTCAAGCGTCGCTCTGCGCTTGAAAACATTCAGGCTTAAGAAGGAGCCGTTACCATTGTCGCCACTTCCGCGAAGTCGCGCCAATCGACGGTCTATTGTCTGTACAAAATTGTCCACGAGGCCATGAAGAGCAGCAGCCGTTCGCCGGTGTCGCTCCTCGCGATTTTCCCCGCACGCACCACCACCATTTACTTCGTCCTCATCCTGCTCGGTCTCGGTTGGACCACACATCGTCTCGGGCACGCTGAAGCTAAAGGCGTCGAACCATGCGCCGGTAGCGCTCACCGAGCGCTCATCGAGCGACGGCTGCGAGCGGGAGGAGCAGCCCCTCCCCTTGTCGCCCAAGTCGACTGCAAACGAGTAGACGGTGAGTGGGACGGCAGCCAAGCAGTTGCCCCTTGCATGCTCCATTTCCTTCCCGTCGCTTCCATTGCTCGTCCCGTCGTTGAGAGAGGAGCAGCAGTAAATCACCGGATACTCGAGCAGCCAACCGGCCAACCCGGAGAGGCCGACGTCGCCCAAGGTTTTAACAAGGCTCTCACAGTCCAAAATCAGCTCCTTCATGCTCAAGTCTCGCAGCCAGCGTGCCCCCCCTTCTAGTTCTGATGGCAGCACGCGATGTACGCCGTCGCCCCCACAAAACCTGTCTTCCTTGTTGCTCTTCGCCGGGGTCTCCATCGCCATCGACTCTCTGCTAGTACCTCGTGGTGGTGGCGTTGGTGATGGTCTGCTGGCTCGCCCTCCTTCAACGCTATTCGCGGTGGCCGCTACCGTTGCTCCGCCGAAGGCCCAGAGGAGAGCAGCACAGAGTCTTGGTGCGAGAACATCGCTGCGATCACTCGGCACTGCCAGAGCCTTGTTCACGTCGAGGAGAGTCGAGTCTCGCCAACCTAAGCGGCGCTGATGAGCTGAGGCGGCAACATCCACCGCCGGTCTCACCGCCTCTGCCTCATATCCACTCTTCTTGCCGCAACCGGTGGCACATGTCGACGACCTCCTGAACATCTCGTCTGCTTGTTGTGCAGCGATGGTTTCACCCGAAAAAAGCTCGTTGAGTCTATGCACAAGCATAACACGGTTGACCAAGAAGCTCGACCCTTCCAAAACGAGCAATCCCAAGCAGGCGACGCCGCCGCTGCTACAATCGCAGTCGGAATGACAGTCACGGGTCGCGCAACGTTCTTTCTGCTGTTGCCGTTCCTGTTGATCGTGCTGCATTGCCAACAGAACGTCTGCTAGCGGAGGAAATCCGCGGGGCGCGCGGCGCGAGTCGAGGAGCACGGCACAACGGACACCGGCTGCTACAAGGCAGACATCTCCGAACCTGTAGAGGAGCGTGGGTGGGTATGGAGTTCACGAGAGAGTGAACGCTAGGGTGTGTGCTGTTTCGGGAAGCACGCGAGACCACGCTACCACGTTCGCAACCTACACAGACTTCTCAGGAAGCGTGTGTGGGTGACCTTAAGCTTTTCGTAGAAATGCGCACCGCGTCGCGTGTAAGAACACCGTGCGCGTAAGAACAACGCTAGTGTGGGAAGAGTTTACCGTGGCCAAAACGTTTGAGAGCGGGATCCACCAGCGACGCTCCAGTCGCCATCATTGGAGTCGACGGCTGCGGCTCGCGGGCGTACTCTGCGACAAGATCGTAGGAAGAGATGGTTCGCGGAGCATATGTAGTTCCACATCGATGCTACAATCTGAAAACAAAAGAGTTCTTCCGTTGACTACGTGAAGGAGGGCTTTTACATTTATGTGCGCAAGCCAAGATCACCCGAGATGCAACCAACTCCCGTTTTTTGCACCCATCGGTAGTGCAGACATGCTACTGTACGGTATGGATGTGAAAACAAATTCACACGTTGCGTTACTTACACCGGCAGCATCCGATGCGGTCACGTGGTGTTGACGTATAGTCTAGATGCCCACCCCCGCAACTATTGTATTTTGGAGACGGATGATGCTTGATCTTGGATGCCGCTGGGAATACAACGTTATAAGCGGTCTGCATAACGCCGGTGGCAGAGATGGTCACTAGATCACATAGTCTCCGGGGGTAATATCAGGCGTCCACAGCAATACCAGTACTGCTGTACATGAGCATTTCCATCATCACGAGTGCAGCACAACCGTGACAAAAACTGGCAAAACTTGGTCGCCGCGACCCATCCATGCACACACTTGCTCCGGCACACCTTGTTTTATGCTGAGGTGCCACTCCTCGACCAGCAGCACGACACGCCCTCTCGAAATCGGCTTCCTCGATTAGCATATGGCTCCAAAGTATTGGACAGACCAGAAGGATTGCACATCGCCAAGCAAGCAATCACCACCGCCACCGCCGACGGCGGCGGACTTGGACAGCACCAGCACGTATGCCCTCCTCCTGCAATTTTCAACAGCGGCGCCCCCAACGAACCACACGCTAAACACTGCCACTCCCCACCACGCCGCAAGTGACTAACACGCTCGAAACGAGAAGAGGAACCAAGGGAAAAACCTGCTTGCTTGCTGTGTCTCGCTCTCTCACACGGAACTTGTCTGCGCCTCTCTCCGGCGTGCGTGTGGTCTTGCGCGAGATTGTCCTTGGGTAGAAATCGACAGTCAAGCAGGAGGAGTTTTCGAAGGCACAAGAGGGGTGGCAGCACGCGGACCAACTCGTGAAGGCTGAGAAGAGAAAGGAAGGGAGAGGCTTGAGACGAGACACGCGAGACAGACAACAAGCAGCGGAGGCTCCCAGGGAGATGGCTCGAAGGAACGCCACGGGCGTGCAACCTCTAGGCAGACGGAAGCGGAAGATAGGATCAGATGCAGACTGCGGCGGCGTCGTGGGAGGGGTGTTCAGGAGGCAAGCCACCGGAGGGAGGGGCAGGAGGCGGAGCACCGGGCAGAGCTTCGTGTTGTCAGCCACCGGGAACTTTCATCGGCGTCTTCGGAAGGATTTGGAAGGGGTGCCAGAGTTGATAGCCGACGTCAGGAAGAGCCTCATATCACGTGAGCGATGTGTCGGCCGTGCTGTAGGCCGTGCAAGCTACTCTTTCCTTCGTTCGTCGTGCGGTACAAGTAGCACAAAAAACCTGCTGACGACCCCCCCTTCCCCCGAAAGACTGAAACATGAAATCCAGATCGCGCAGATGCTCGAGTCATTTCACACCCATGCTAAGGAATGCTGATGCGTCGTCGATGTCAAGAGGCGGATGCTGCGCTATGGGATTGATACAGCTTGGTACCGACATGTGTGCTTTTCGCGGCTTGCGCGCACAGCATCCGTTTTTTTTTTTTTCTGGCGAGGGGGGGCATCGGGAATGGTCTCGTTGTCCAGCAGCAGCAGCAGTCTCTTCCCGGCTACACACTGCTGCTGTGCGGGCGTGTATGCCCTCCAAGAAGTATGGTGCGGACAAACATGTACCTGACATCAACCGAGCGGAAAATTATCCGCGTTCACACCATACGTCGTCGTAACGCGGGATGTTTGGCCCTTTGTTTTTTGTTTTTTCGTTGGCGAAGATTGTCAGGTGCGCAATCGCCGGTGTCATCGAACTTATGCACTTATTTTTCCCTAGTTTTCTACTTCGACACATTCTAAGCAGAGTGTTTCTTGATGAGCGCTCACACCAATCGCTCTGCTGTCCAGCCGCTCGTGGCCGGAGTAAAAGAAACAGACACCGTCAACAGGCCGTGCCCTCACAGCGGTCTGCCGCGACGCCTGTCGTCTTCAACGATAATTTAACGATAACAACGTTATCGTGACGTGATGACTTCACGTGTCGCACTTTTTTTCTCGTCTTCCCAGGCGACAACGCAGCCTTGATCGCGGCCGTTATCGAGGTGCGCAGCAAGCTTATCGAAGGCAACAGCGCCCCGTTTGATCGGCCCATACGGTCAAGCAACTCCTCGTCGGGAGTTGGAGGTGGGGGCGTAGGTGAGGGCGGAGTTGGGGGCGCCGGCGGAGGGGGCGGGGGTGGGGGCGGCGCGGAGCACAATCACGGGCATCACTACCATGGGGACGATGATGAGGATGACCCGTATGGCCAGAACAGGCGAGTCGTGGAAACAGCTGTCCCGAGTAATTTTGTCATGGAATGCCAATCCCTTGCACTTTGTTTCTAGTGATCATTGTCTCTTGCCTGTCGGAAGAACATACCGCCGTTGTTTTTTCTAGCAAAATGCTCTCTGTGTCGCTTGATTGTAGGCTTCGAATGCTCTGGCTTCGCCTTGGGTGAAGGGGTTACACGCGGCTGCTGATTGCTGATTGTTGGATTCCGAAGTTTTTGTTGCGGCGAATCATTCCACAAGCTGATGCGTAACAAACTCGAGAGGTCACACCAGGGGTGGCAGAGAAGGGAACGCAACTAACAGCAGCGGGTAGGCCTGTGCGAGGTTCTTGGCTCACGGCGAAAGCTAACTTATCTCCCCCTCTCCCTCTTCTCCTCCCCCTTTCTTTTGACAAACCTACCTCTGCCATCGGGTCGTCCGTTTTTTTACTCACCGCATCGCTGCTGTTTCGACGCTCTGCCGTATGACGTGCCCTATGGCCTGCGTTTTTTACATGCTGACAACAACAGCTACCGGCAAGTTCGTCGCCTGGACCGAGAGGCCTTCGTGTCGCTGGGAGGGCCGGAGCTTCTCCTTCAGGTATGCAGCGGGAGCGGAGAGCCAAGATAGAGCAACGAATCTGTCCGGTCGTTGTGGGGAATCGCGTTTGTTTAGCATGTTGTTTGTGAGACCAGGGAGCATGTGCGTGCCGATCCTTTGACTGGACGCGAGGCCTGGTTCGGCACCCTTAACTTTACGGGGTACTATGATACTTCGTGGTTGGGGGGGGGGCAACCAAGCATGCTGTATTACCGCGACCATGCCTCAGCTTGGCACCTGCTGTCCTTGCTGCATTTGCCCCGTAAAGCACTTTCAGCATCCTGGCAAATACGACAGTGCAGGTCCGACAACTTCCGTCGCAGAACCGGCTGCTGCGTTTGCTGCGATATACAGAGAATTTTGAACGCGTTCCCTTCCTTGATGTTGCTACGTGTGGCCATCCTCTGATAACCACGGCGGTGAGGTAGGTGCTGAAGAGGCCGGGATCCCCCGCGGACGCCCGGTCCATCCCGGCGGCGATCGTGACGCGCGACATGCCGCTGTGGAAAACGACGCTCATTATCCTGCGGGAGCTGTGCTTCATGGATCAAGACCTAAGCGAGAGGTGCGAAAATACACGTTGTCCGTGGCGTGGTGCTCGCCGTGGCCCCCGTGCGTTGATGCTGGAGCTTTTCCGTGCCCTTTCCCTCCCTCTATTGACGGCAGGGTTGTGTACAGCGGTGGCACCGGGGGGGGGGGGGG